GCAGCAAACCACATTTCTTAGTGCAACATTAGAAACATCCTCATTAAAGCCAGAAAAAAATCTAGGATGTGTGCTGTGCTTTCTGCGATTCCCTATTTTAACTGGTGCTCTCAGCCAGTGAGCATGCAAATCTATTCCAGAGGATGAGACAATAATCATAACTATTTGCAAATGATTTTAATGTATCCATGGAAAATCCAAAAGAAAAAAAATCATTAGAATTCCTAGGAGTATAATAATATGACATATACAAAATCTACTTGCAGAAATTCAGAGTTTTCCTACAGATCAGCAACACTCATGGAATAAAACAGAACAATAAATTCCTTTTATTATTTCCACAAGTATTAGAAATGCCTAGGCATAGCAGCTAAAAGCAGAGGTCTAGTTCGAGCTGGTTTCCCTCTACAGGCCCAGGCCTCTTCTCCTGCTACTGTGTGGGCATGAAGCCCTGTATGGGTATGAAGCCCTAGCCCCTGGCTTTCAGGAACTGCGATATCATGACCACCATATGCTCCTCCAGCATCAGTGAATACTCCTATTATGAAAAAGAGCTTGAATAACTAGAAAAACATGTTTCATCACTGTGGTCACGATGCTTACTTTAATTTGGCAATAAATATGCTTCATTTAATTTGGCAAACATTAGTGCTTTGTGTTCTTCATTGCTTCCTTTGGAAAATAAAGCCATATAACATTTTTTTTTTTATTTTACTGGTGAGGAAACTGAGGCTTCAAGTGGTTTTTGTGACATGGCTCATCACGGTGTCATCGTGAACTAAAAGCTAATGTGGTACCAAGCCCTGGCTTAATGGCTCTTTCCCATAAAATTAAACTAAATCAAATATCCAGTTGAGAATAATTATTTCTCTCTTCTGTGGTAGATATTCTAATTTGTAACAATAAAAAATTTCCATAGGTCATTTTTATTTTAAATTATTCTGATGGAAACTATATTCACACTATTTTACCTAATGTCTGTTCATTGTAATTTCTTAAGGAATGATCAGGATAGAACTAGAATTTTGTAGTTATACTTGTTCTTGGGCCATGTCTTTCAGCTCCCATAATATGATTTTAGTGCTTTCAAATTGTTAATCCTTATAAATGAAAATACATGTTACTTTCTTCACAGTTTAATTCTTTAAAAAAGCAACCATGTTCAGTTCCTAAGGCTATGTAACAAATTGCTATAAACAGGATGGCCTAAAACAATAGAAATTTATTCATATATAATCTGGAGGCCAGAAGTTCAGAATCAGCGTCACTGGGTGTAGGGAATCCCTCTCGACAAGACTACAGCCATCTTGGTTGTAACCAGGTAATAATGTGTGACCCTTGAACACATTCTAAGCCCTGCAGGATAAACAAAGTCACTAAGAGAGTCAGCCAAGAGTTTTATGCTGGGCACTCACGCCTATACTTACCTGATGACCTGAGAAAGCCTGGCCGTATTTCAATTGGCTGCTGGCCATCTTTGTTTAACGTACATTATGAGCCCTTTCCTCCTGTCCTGAAGTATAAGGATCCTCCAGTCTTGTAGCCCCCAAGATGTGCTTCTGCCTGTAAGTCCCTGATAGGCTGCATTAGGTGCAGTTCTAGATTTGTCTGCCTCTTTTCTTTGGTTTATAGCACCTACTACCTTTGGTGACCAGTTCTCAAACACTGGGTTTTCCCAAAACACTGAGCCAAATGAAATCAAGGTGTCAGCAGGGTCTCGCTTGCTCTTGAGGCTATAGTGAGAATCTTTTCCTTACCTCTTGTGCCTCTGCTGGTTGCTTGCATACCTGGGCCTATGGCCATATCACTCCACTCTCAGTCTCTGTGGACACAGAGCTCTCTTTCTTCATGTGTTGTCTCCCCTGCTTCCTTCTATATAAGAATGCATGTAGTTACATGCATTCTTTTTTTTTAATTTTTTAAAATTTTTTATTGGTTGTTCACAACATTACAAAGCTCTTGACATATCATATTTCATACATTAGATTGTAGTGGGTTATGAACTCCCAATTTTACCCCAAATGCAGATTGCAGAATCATGTCAGTTACACATCCACAATTTTACATAATGCCCTATTAGTAATTGTTGTATTCTGCTACCTTTCCTATCCCCTACTATCCCCCCTCCCCTTCCCTCACATCTTCTCTCTCTACCCCATCTACTGTAATTCATTTCTCTCCTTGTTTATTTTCCCATTCCCCTCACAACCTCTTATATGTAATTTTGTATAGCATTGAGGGTCTCCCTTCATTTCCATGCAATTTCCCTTTTCTCTCCCTTTCCCACCCATCTCATGACTCTGTTTAATGTTAATCTTTTCTTCCTGCTCTTCCTCCCTGCTCTGTTCATAGTTGTTCTCATTATATCAAAGAAGACATTTGGTATTTGTTTTTTAGGGATTGGCTAGCTTCACTAAGCATAATCTGCTCTAGTGCCATCCTTTACATACATTCTTATATAGAAGATAAGATCTTTAATTTAATCATAGCTGCATACATGCACCCCAAACAAAACACATTCTTGGAGGCAGAGAATTTGAATACTGGTCAACTCCTAGCCTATTCACCTTGACCAGGTTTATTAACCTCTTAAAACATTACTTCATCTCAAAAGGGAATTGGTACATTCCTAAGTTTTTGAAAGGCTTAAGAGAAATGATATTGATTCAAATATTACCTCTGTCTTTTTTATTTACTTGCATTCAAAACCTTGTTTTGACTCACTTTTGCACCTCCAGAGCCTGGCCACCCCTGACATGTAGAGGTTGTGTAATGTGTGCTTGCTGAGTGCTTTTCTGTCCTCTGAAGGATATTGTGGCATTGCACCACCATGTACTGAACCCTCAGCTGGCGACAGCTCAGTGACAATGACCCATCCAGAAACATCCTGAGAAAGCTGAGTGTCATTCATTTAGCAAGCAGAACCTCTAACCTGGAGTTTCTTCATCACCATGCTGAGCCAAGTGCATATATGAAACAGGAAAAGAACTGATGATCCAGAAAAGGAAAAGTTTGCAATGGGTATAACAAGCACCCAGCTATCCACATACATGTGTGTGGGCATGTGCATGTGTGTGTGCATGCACGCGTACACACACGCATTCTGCATAGAAGACTGATTTTTTTTTTTTTTTACCTTGCTGGTGTTTTGTGTTTTGGCTGTGTACTTACAGCCGGCAGGACTTCAGCATTGTGGGTCTGTCGTACATTCCCATGAGGTTCCTTCCAACTGCCCATTAAACTGCTCGGAGACAGCCATGGGTGACATGCTGACATGTATCTTTCTGAGGCCACCTACCCAGCATTCATGGCTGAGGATAAGGGTTTCAACACTGCGGTTTGAGTCTTCCTGACAACAGAGCAGCATGTCACTTTAGGACATGGACATTTATTGATCTGGCCTTGGATAATGAGTCATTTGGCTTACAAATGTCCCTGAGTCATGGGCTGTCCTGAAGATCACCTTGCTGACTCATGGTGCCTTGCTGTCCCAGAGGCCTCCTGCAGTGATGGGGGGTCCTCCCAACAGCCTGCCGCTTCTTTTCCAGGACACTCCTGTCCCCTGCTTGGCTGGCTGAGCAGAGAAGAGGCAGCTGGGAACCTCGGGGAGGAAATGAGTGTGGAGCAGCAGCAGGAGACACTCAGGGAAGCACAGGAGAAGGGATGAGGGAAAGCCACAGCCCAGCACAGGCAGGGCAGGAAAAGCCACTCACGCCAGCAGGCCATTGAGAGCAGGCTGCATCAAGACTTCAGGGTGTGTGAGGTTTTATTCATTATGTACGTGGCACTTAGCACCTGCTGATGCCTACCTCCAAGTCAGCAAACCTTTGTTGTTCTGGTGGTGCTTTTTAGGTGTTCTGGTGAAATCAGGTCAGCAAACTTTGAAAGCTGTGTTTAGTCAAGAGAAAAATGAATGTGCAGTAGTCCAAAAACCCCAGTGCTGCCTGAAACCATAAGTACTAGGCTTGTCTTATATGAGAGTATTTAAGATAAAGCTAATTCATAAATTGGCACAGTAAGAGATTAATGTCAATAACTAATAAGATAGACCAACTGTAACAATATACTGTCATAAAAAGTTCTATGAATGGGGTCTTCTCTTTCAAAATGCAATTGTATTATATTGTATTTCAGATCACAGTTACCACAGGTAACTGAAACCACAGAAAGCAGAACTGCAAATAGTGGGTGGGGTGGGCGACTCCTGTGTTTAATCAGAAATAAGCAGAACTGACTCTACGGAAGGCTGGTGGTTCTGGACATTAGCAGATGAATGCAAAAGTTGCAAATGCAACCTGGATCTTTGGAGAATTTCTAAATTACTGGGAGAGGAGGATCTGATGGCCAGAAGCAATTAGAGATCAACATTCTGGTTAGAGAATGAAACTGTCCAGTGTGTGGTAGAGACTGGGAGGACCACACAAAGGACTGAGGACTGGCCGAAGGGGAGTGGCTTCATGCATTCCCTCAGTGCTGATGGAGACTCTTTCTGGGCCAGGATTGGATACATACCTGTATGTAAGGCCCTGTGCTTTTAGAATATATCTGGCAACAAAGGGATAGAATAGCAAGCAATTGTGGTACAACGAGTTCTACTGTACTAGCATGAAGAGGGTGCTGAAGGAGAAGGTGGTTGTAAGCTGAGCCCTTGCAGGTGGAATCTACTACCTAAGCAAAAGGAGCTGGGTGTGGGGTGTGTAACCATAGTTCCAGCATTCCAGAGGCAGAGGTAGGAGTATCAAGATCAAGAGCTTGAGACCAGCCTGGACACCATAGTGAGACCCTGTCTCCAAAAAAAAAAAAGGAGTTCTCTGTGCTTAGATTAATCTCACAATGCTGAGACAATTGGAGTGCTTTCTTAGCAATCCTTAAATGACTCTCTTCTACACTGCATAATCTGTTTGAAGTAACCACATAGGAATTTTTTTTTTTTTGCATTAGGATGATTATAATATCAATGGCAGATCTTAGCCACTAACTCCATTTTCCTTTTTTCCTAGTGTCAAATCAACAGTGCCTTGACTTCTTTCCACACTGCTTTGGAGCTTGCAGTAGATCAGAGAGAAATTCAACATGTCTGTCTGTATGAAATTGGTAAATATCAAATGACTCCCCACCTTCTTGTTATGAAGCAGTATTGATGCTTCTTGATGCAACTTTTCATTTGTAATGCAGTTCAGTTTGTCTTTGCAAAATGCTGTTGCATAATAAGGACTTTGATTGTTATGCTAGTACGTGTCATGGTGCTTCTCTCTCTGGGTCACTCTGCCTTGTAACATTTTGACTTTAGAATAATTGGTAATGTTAAGTGAATTAACTGCATTGCCATTTTTAAATACCTAGTGCACAGAAGAATCCAAACCCTTTTTTTTCCCTCCTTCCTACCACTGCTTATTTGAGAAGAAAAATATAACATCAGAGAGAGTTGGACCTCAATGCCAGCTGCCCTGAGATCTCCAGCAAGGTGCCTAAACCTTCTGAGCCACATAGTCGCCATTAGTGTGGAGGAGCTCACCCAGGGCAGCCCAAAGGTTTAGATGAAGCCTCCATAGGAGACTCCACACCTGTCAGAGGCTTCTCCTCCTCCTGGAGACAACATTTGTAAATGGACTTAGAAGTGCTTATTTGCCTAAGATTCTCCCCTCCTTCACCAGAGTGGCTGCTGAGTCTTTTTAAAATTTATTTATTTATTCTAATTTGTTATACATGACAGCAGAATGCATTTCAATTCATAGTACACATATAGAGCACAATTTTTCACGTCACTGGTTGTATACAAAGTAGAGTCACACCATTCTTGTCTTCATACATGTACTTAGGGTAATGATGTCCAACTCATTCCACCATCTTTCCTCCTCCCTTCCTCTCCCTCCCCTTTGCCCTACCTAAAGTTCCTCCATTCCTCCCATGCCATCCCCCATCCCCATTATGGATCAGCATCCACATATCAGAGAAAACATTTGGCATTTGGTTTTTGGAGACTGGCTTACTTTCACTTAGCATAATATTCTCCAGTTCCATCTGGAAAGCAGTATGGAGATTCCTTGGAAAACTTGGAATGGAACCATTTGATCCAGCTATCCCCCTCCACGGTTTATACCCAAAGGACTTAAAAACAGCATACTACAGGGATGCAGCCACATCAATGTTTATAGCAGCAAAAATTCACAATAGCTAAACTGTGAAACCAACCTAGATACCCTTAAAGTAGATGAATGGATAAGGAAAACGTGGTATATATACACATTGGAATATTACTCAGCTTTAAAAGAGAATAAAATCATGACTGCTGAGTCTTTTGCTGTCTGCAATCAACTCTTAAATCCTGGCACATTTGAATTTCAAAGTCCTTTTATGTAGAAGTTTCTCCATTTTTCTGAAAAAAGTAAACACTTTTTTGGGCTTGAAATGAAACGTTGTTTTGTTTTACTTTGTTTTAAAGGGGGGGTTCCAGCCTAATACTTCAAGTTCACACCATACAGCACACGTGAAAGAATCAGAAAAGGGTAGAGAAAGGAGCACTCCCCATTTCCTCTTCCCTGTCTCTGCAGAGGGACAGAGAAGAGGAAGCAGAGAGTGCTCAGAGAAGCAGTTAACACCCGTCAGCACCAGACCACAGCAGCTTCTCCTGCTGTGGACATAACTGTCTTCCTGAATCCTTTGAAGAAAAGTGCCAACAAAAAGATTGGGAATTACCCAATAAATAACATTACATTTTAAATGCCTCTTATGGTTTAGGAAGAGGAGATGATGTACAATCCCATGGAAACATGTACTTTTATGTAACCTAAATTCTGATGGAGCTCTGCTTAGTGGCCATAAGGTAGAGTGAGAAGTGTTTCAAAGAACTTGAATTTTAAAAGCGCAGCTTTGGTAGCCTTTTCTAACCTGCCATTTCAAGGTCTGTTGCAGGACAGGACTTTAGAGCTGAAGGAAGCTTAGGGACCATCTACCCCAGGCCTTAGGAAGGTCAACTCAGGAATAAGTAGCCACTCCAACTTGTTCTGCAGGCTTGTGCTTGGGGCCTCCACCTAGGTTTTGTATTCAATCTAGATCCTTCCCTGACATCTAATATGGGGTGAAAACAATTAGCTAAAATAAGTCAACATAGAAGTCCCACAGAATTTGACAGTGAGATTGGTCCAAGTAGATATCATTCCCCACCAAATTGTTTAAATGGCAAATGCAAGATTACATGATTACTTTGGTATCTGATACCAGCATATTTGTTTTTATGGGGGGAAATTGTGAAAAGGAGAGAGCATTGGACTTTAATCCACAATTCTTCCCTCCTAATAGCTGTGTGGCCTTGAGCAAGTCACTGACCTATGGCTGCCTTAGGTTTTTCCCTCTAACAAGAGGACACCATCAGCCAGCTTTGCAGGGTTGCACTACAGATTAGCAATAATTGGTATCACATGATAGCACACAGTAGGGCCAGTTGACGGAAGGTAACATGATTAACAACGAGAATATAACTTTTTTTCCTTTTAGTGGCTGCTGTTCCTTACCAGAATGCCAGTCTGACAGTGTTTAAATGTAGGAAAGATGGAGTCTCTTCTCGGCTCTACTACCAATGAACAGATGGAGGGTGGGCAGGACTTATTTCTGACTGGTTGTCTCTGTACTTCTCACAAAAGTCTGAGCATTAATAGTAATCATTAATCATTAGGTGAGTGCCTTGAGACTTTCTGAGTCGCTAAGTATATAATATAAATATATTGCCTCCACTGATGCTCTTTCTGCCTGCGCCAATACTTGGAGAAGTACTTGGTTTAATCTCACCACGGTATGGGGCAGACTGGAGAATTTTTCTAGAAATCTTTACACCGTTTTCTTCCATACTCCTTAATCGGTAGTGAAATCCAAAATGCCCTATCTTGCTCAAACTTTACACAGAAAGCATTTAGAGGAAAAACTAATTTTAAGTTTTCACTGTTTCCTAGAACATTCACAAGAAGGTTAGTGGTATGTTGGAGATTTGTAGCTCAAATATAGATCATGGAGCTCTCTACCTTAGGGTTGTATGCTAAATTTATATTTCTTTCCTAGGTTGGTGCAGCATGATCGAACTCAACTTCAAGGATGCATTTGATTCCTTTGAGAGGCTGAAAAATGAGTCCAGGTGGTCACAGTGTTATTATGCATATTTGACTGCAGGTGAGTGGTGGTCCACAGAGCCATAATATGCCTGTCTGTGGATAGTCCGCTCACACATACTGGAGGTAGAGAATCATAGAAGCAGCAGTCTCCCTGACATGTTCATGTTTTCTATAACCAAGTAAATAGCAGTGGGCTACTGTGTTCGCTGACCCAGCTGGATGCCAAGAAATTCAGTAGTGTACCTGATGTTTCTTCCTTCCCTTCCCCCTCCTATGCCTGGCCCATCCTGTGCTTTGTCTTGAAAATACTTATTTGGGGCGGGGTTGTGGCTCAGCGGTAGGGTGCTTGCCTAGCATGTGTGAGGCCCTGGGTTTGATCCTCAGTACCACATAAAAATAAATAAACAAAACAAAGGTGTTATGTACAACTAAAAATTACATATTTTTTTTTTAAAGAGAGAGTGAGAGAGGAGAGAGAGAGATAGAGAGAATTTTTAATATTTATTTTTTAGTTCTCGGCGGACACAACATCTTTGTTGGTATGTGGTGCTGAGGATCGAACCCGGGCCGCACGCATGCCAGGCGAGCGCGCTACCGCTTGAGCCACATCCCCAGCCCCAAAATTACATATTTTTTAAAAAAGAAAATACTTATTGTGAGGCTTTCCCAGTTTTTGAACATTTTGCCCTCAACAACATCACCTGCCCTTATTACACTTTTTTCTTTTTGAAATATTTTTTATTTATTAGTATTTTAAGGAATTTTTGAGATTGAACATGTCTACATGTTTTTTGGTTCTGGGGATTGAACCCAGGGGCACTTAATACTGAACCACATTCCCAACCCTTTTTTATATTTTATTTAGAGACAAGGTCTCCTTAAGTTGCTTAGGGCCTTTCTAAGTTGCTGAAGCTAGTTTTGAATTGGCAATCCTCCTGCCTCAGCCTCCCAGAGCCACTGGGATTACAGGCATGTGCTACCACACCCAGCTGAACATGTCTTTTTCATTGTGTTAATAATGCTTTGGGTGACCTAGTTACAGAGTTGCATAGTTATCTGGTCCAACATTGCTTTACCTGTCAACTTTGTTATATTTACCTGTAATGTTATAGAACTAGGAGTATTTAAACTCTGCAGATCATTATAGCATAAACACTAATCTTCGTTTTATTTTTTGCTTTTTTTTTTTTTTTTTTTGGTCTTTTTGAGATAAGTTAAGGTGTGCTGCCACCTGGTGGACAAAAGTGTTGTGTGTCCCTGTGATACATGCATGAGGTGTGAAACTGAAGAAACCCCCAATTGGTTGTATATTTTTTTGCCTTTAAGCAATTTTATGTAAATCCTTTCAGGTTTATGTGGACAAACTCTCCTTAAGCATCCACATAAATAATTCTTTTACTTAAAATTAAGACTTGCTAGGTGTGGTGGTGCACACCTGTAATCCCAGAGACTGAAGTAGAAGGATCACAAGTTTGAAGCCAGCCTCAGCAATTTAGTGAGGCCCTAAGCAACTTAGTGAGACTCTGTTTCAAAACAGAAAATAAAAAAAGGACTGGGAACTTAGCTCAGTGGTAAAATGCCACTGGGTTCATTATCCAGTACCAAAAAAAAAAAAATCAAGACTGGCATTGTATCTCAGTGGTAGAGTGCTTGCCGAGCACATGTGAGGCACTGGGTTCGATCCTCAGTACCACTTAAAAATGGAAAAATAAAATAAAGGTATTGTGTCCATATACAACTAAGAAAAAAGATTTTTAAAAGTAAAAAAAAAAAAAAAAACTTTTTTTTTTTTTGGTGTTGAGTTGAATTCAAGGCCTCGAACATGCTTAGCACACTGAAGCACTGAGCCACACCCCAGCCTCCCAAACATTATTTTGAGTACCTCCTTATTTTGAACACTTGGATTTAATGAAACATCTTCCCATTTCATTCCATCCCCTTAACTCTTCTATTTATGATTGAATTAACATGAGCCAATGCATTTATCCTGGATATCCCACAAGTCCCTATAAAATTGTGTCAGACTATTAGCAATCAGTACAAAATCCTCTTTAATTTATTCACCCTACTGTACAGGGCATCAGTTCTTCATGGCTGTATCTGATGTTTGAATATGCTTATTTTTGACATATGAGTTAGCGTACTGTGTCTCACACCTGAAGGATTGTTTGCATAGAGCACAGGGCAGTATGAAGGTGGTATGCTGATGATCCAGATCTTAGACATCCTTCAAGGCTCAGCTTAGCTTCTCAGAGCTTCCCATTACGCCCAAAAGAAATGATTCTTCTTTTCTGATCTTTCCTAAAAGCACTTTGGTTCTCCCTTGCTAAGGGCTCCTGTTACTATGTGCCTTGTAATTGGAACTCTGGTGTGTGTGTGTGTGTGTGTGTGTGTGTGTGTGTGTGTGATCTCTACAGCTGAAATATACACTTTTTTTCTAACTGCAAGTTTGTGTTTCTTCTTGACATTTTATTGATGGGTTATGATGGTAGGAGGCCAATGAACATGTGCAGGACTAATCCATGACTTTCTTCTTAGGACACAGATGTCTTTCTCCTCCTGCCATGAAGCTTCCATGATCCCTTCACCTCCTAGTTGTTCTTCCTTAAGATTCCTTTTATTGTTTTTGTTGGGGGGGGGTGCTGGGGATTTAGCTAGGGCCTTGTGGAAACTCTGCCTCAGCCCCAAAGCATCCTTTTTTTTATTCTACTGTCTGGGCACATGGGCTCCAAGTAGGTTGCACACTGTGACAGCAGTTCAGGATTTCATTGCACGCAAGCCTTCCTCCCCAACAAGAGGATGGGGATCGTGGCTTTCCTGCAGAGCAGCCCAGTCCCTCGTGTGGCAGTCTTTACACGCGTGCGCTCCTGTGTTTTCCTTGGGGGTATTTTCCAGGCATCCTCCTCCTCCTGGGGCTCAGTGGCATTTCCCCTCCTGCCCCTCCTCATACTCTAGAAATACACTTCTGCTTTCTTCCAGTCTGCCAGGGAGCCACTGGTGATGTGGATGGGGCACAGATCGTCTTTAAAGAGGTTCAGAAACTCTTCAAAAGGAAAAACAACCAGATCGAACAGTTCTCGGTGAAAAAGGTACGATGGAGCTGATGGGTCCAGTGTCTTATCTATGATGGACAATTGTGACTAGCTCTGCCTTGGATGGGCTTTAGGAAAACACGTTCATATCAGGTGACAGACATGTCACATGAAATGCGCTTCACCACTCTGGAGAGAATTTACTCCTGTGAGCACATTTCTGCTCTGAATAAAAAATACTTGTTTCTCTACAAATAACTATGGCAAACTTAAAAAAAAAAAAAGTTGAGTAGAGATGTCACAGACCCTGCAAAGCTAATGAGCACATCTGGACAGGGAAAATATCTGCCTAAAAAATTAGGTGGTCTCAAAAGGGTGCACACTGGCAGAACTAGTGAGAGACACAGACTGTTGGATGCTCAGGAGGGTAAGCATGTCACATTCTGATGTAATAAGAAGCTAGAGGGTATGTCAGATTTGCCAGTAGAAAGGTCAGGACTATAGGGACAATGTCCCAAATTTATTCTGCTAACCCTTGAATTATATAATATCATGTCATATCCTGAGGTTTCCATGATTTTAATTTTATAAATTTTCTTTTACTTTATAAGCATATTTTTCTTTCATTAATATTTATTGAATGATCATTTAATGAATTTGTTTGAGTAAACATTGGATTATAATGTTTATAATAAATGCAACTGAGAAGACTAGGTGTAAGGAGAAAATTTAAAGCTTGATAGACCTGTAACTCAAACGTCTCTAGTCTTCCATCTTCTGTGTAACACATGGAGTAGTAACTTAGTTTAGTTTGTCACATAGCTGTTACACATGTATCGATTTAAACTAAAATAAATCTGGTCTCATACCCAAGTTTTCAGAATCCTTTGAGAATAGATTGAGTTTAATGATGAATGTGAGGCCTATCTACAAATATATTAGAAACTGGAAGGTAGAACTTTTTTTAATATAGAGCAATTTTCATTTTTGGCTTTGTGGGAGAGGGACATTCACATTGAATATGTATCATGTGTTTTTTCCATGTCTCCAAAATGTATTTTGTATTTATTTTTGAAAAATGGAGCCTAATCATTCCAACTGCTTGCAGGCAGAGAGATTCCGGAAGCAAACCCCGACCAAAGTGCTGTGTGTGCTGGCGTCCATCGAGGTCTTATACCTGTGGAAAGCCCTTCCCAACTGCTCCTTCCCCAACCTGCAGAGGATGAGTCAAGGTAAACACAAACACGAGACCGTGCACACCTGCTTCTTTCTTCAGCGTGGCTCCTTCCGACTCTCCTTAGCATTACTCAGGCTGTGTTGTTTTTGGATTGAGAGTGCAGCAGTGAGGGCCGTTCTGTGTCACAGCATGTGGGAGTGGGAGACACAGGTGTAGACAGATGCACTTGCTTGGCTGGGAGTTCTTAGTGATTCTCTGCTACACCTGGTTTTAGTTCTGCAGCCATGAGTCTCTGAAAGTGTGCATTTCCTTCCCCAGTGAAAGCACTTTGTTTCCCATAGGTGTGATTCACATGCATAAAGACACTCAGATTGAGTGTTTGATTCAGCGAGTAATTGTGACACCTAGATACACCTGGCATCCCTCGCCATGATCATGATCTACCACCCTTGACATTTGCCTCATGCCTCTTCCCAGTTAATCTCCACCTCAAGGCACCCTGTGTTCTGATTTCTATGTCCATAGATTAGTTTTTCTGTCCTTGAACTTTTTAGAAGAGGAACCATACAGGATGTACTTTTTTTTTTTGCACATGGCTTAATTTGTTCAGCGTAATGTCTGTGAAATTTAAACACATTGCAGCCTGTAGCAATAGGTAGTTTCTTTTACTTGCTGAGTAGCATTCCATTGTATGGCAATACCCATACCACTATTTGTTTATTTGTTCTTCTATTAATGGACCTTTGTTTATTTTTGTTGTTTTAAACTATCATGAGCCAGGTCACAACAAGTGTGCAACATAAGTTGACGAGTGTTTTGTGTACACATACCTTGGAGTGTAATTAGAAGCCTACATTTTTGATTCATGTATTAGAAAACCCAGCAGCTTATAGGTAACAGTGATAATTATTATAGTTGTAGGAAAATTTCAAAGGGAGAATGAACTAAATATTTGACTAAAATAGAGCTTTGTTTAAAAGCATTTCGTCTAAAGGCTTAATGTTAGGTATTTGAATGGCATTTGGTAGTCTAGCAAGATATTTGCAATCCAGAGAAAGAGGAATGGTGGAGAGTATTGTCATGCCCATTGTAGATGAGGAAGCAGACTCAAGAGCAGCTAGGTGACATGCCCAGCTCCCTGGGAGCCAGCATCTATGCTGCTGGTGTGAGTCTAACACATTGAGTGGCAGGGCTTTCAGTGATCCTGCAAACAGCTTCACCTTGCTGGGAGTGTGAGGAGGCTTAAATCATGCAGCTAGAAGTACTTCCAAGATGAGGCAGCTACGTTAAAATAAATACAAGTAGAGCCAGGGTTGTGGCTCGGTGGTAGAGCGCTTGCCTAGCAGGTGTGAGGCACTAGGTTCGATCCCTAGCGCCATATAAAAAATGAAATAAAATAAAGGTATTGTGTCCATCTACAACTACAAAAAATACAAACTATATATATACATACACAAGTACCTCCAAAAGTATGGTTTCATGGAAAATGTCTTTGGAAATAAATTCTTATCCACATATATACTGCTGTTTCCCAAAAGACTTTAACATGAACGTTTTGAGCTTATTCCAGAAATAGATTATAAACCACTGTAGAAAATCTGTCTGATTTTTCTGCTATTACACTTGTTTCTGACCAAAGATTATATTGCCCATCAATCACACATATTTACCATCAGACGTCCCCATAGATGACTTCAGCCTATTTCTTAAAAACAAACAAAAAAAGAGTCTGCTCTTAAAGTTTAAAACTTTACCACTCTTCTATTCCAGGGGTCAAAAGAAATTCCCAAAGAAGTTTGGGGCAGTGGCTCTGTAATTAGAATAGGAACGTCCCTTCCCAAGGGGACTGCTTGAAAGGAAACAAAATTTTCTTAGATGTGTAAATTCTGCTATGTTCATTTTTAAAGGGTTTGCCTCACTCAAAACCCTTCCCCTGTAGAAGCAAGTATAGAATTATCTACCAATGTCTACCTTAAAGGAATAATGAAGATCTTAAGTAGTTTTTAAATGTACAAGTACAGGGCCATGTATTTAGAGAGATTGAAAACATCTAGAGATATAAGAGGCGGGCACATAAATCACCTGTGAGATTTGACCGTTATCTTTTCAGTTTTCAAAATGAACAATCCAACAAGAAAGATGTGTTGGTGGAGAGAGGGGCAGTCTCTGGGGGTGAATATGAGATGATTCTTTAATATCTTTATTAAAAGTCAACCCAGTTCCGAGGTTAATCAGATGCTGTCAGTCCCGGGTGTGAAGCAGCCATGCTCCAAATCAATCCAGCTACACAGAGTTCAGTGAAGAGTTGGTAGAGGAAGTTACACTCCCTCAGAACCTGTGACGGCAGGCAGTGGGGATCCTGAGTGTTTCGAAAATGCTGTCCATCAAGCCTGCACAGCGTTGTGCACTGAGGCCCCCTCTGTAACGGTCAGCAGGGCTTGCTGGGTCACTGTCTCCTGCTCTGGTGGTTTCACTCATGGCCCCTGATCCCACCAACTTGGCCCCACCTACCACATCCTTCCTGGTGTGAAGCCAGCCGTCTGTGTTCTCATCACAGCAGCCAGGGTGATTCTGTTTAAACCTTAGTACTATTGTATCGCTCCACTTCTCAGAACTCTCTATGGCCCATCATCTCCAGTTCACTCTGGCTGGCAGAGCCCTACATAGTTGCTCTCTGCTCTACCCCTTTGCTCCTCAGGCTCCAGCCTTGCTGATTCTTCCTGTTCCCTGTTGGCCCCAGTGCCTTTACACACACTCCCATGGCTCCTTCAACTCCTTTCCTTCAGGTCTTTACTCAAATGTTTCATTTTCATTGAAACTTGACCTATGCACACATTTCTAATCCCACTTCCCCCTTATTTTTCACCTTAGTATCTTAGCACTTACACTTACTTACAAGTTTGTCTTTTGCACTATTTGTTTCCCCCAGAAAATATAAGCTTCTTTTTCTTTTTCTTTTTTTGTGGGGGTGGATGGGTACTGAGGATTGAACTCAGGGGCACTCGACCCCTGAGCCACATCCCCATCCCTATTTTGTATTTTATTTAGAGATAGGGTCTCACTGAGTTGCTTAGGGGCTTTCTAGGTTACTGAGGCTGGATTTGAACTTGCAATCCTCCTGCCTTAACCTCCCTAGCCACTGGGATTACAGGTGTTCACCATGGAGCCCAGTAAGATGTAAGCTTCTTAAGAGCAGAATTTGTTGTTGTTGTTGTTGTTGTTGACATTATTTTGAGGATCAGCGGTGTTTTAATTTTTTTAAGTAGTTCACAAACTTGCAAAAATATTCACACTGCTCAAAGAGGTGGGAAGCAAATTGTTAAGCATCCCTTCTACTCTGACATCGTCTCCTCCCAAAAGACAGCTGCAGCCTGTGATTTTGGGAGTGACCTTCTGGAGATGTTCCATACATTCAAATACATGTGAGTGTACCTATCTATACAGGTATGAGTGTGTGTGTATGTACTCATACAGTTTCCCCTGCCGTCATCTACAGGTTCTGCTTCAGACAGAAAATATTTGAAAAAAAAAATGCTTCCGACTGAATATGTACATACAGACTTTTTTTCTTCTCATTATTCCCTAAACAATACAGTATAACAACTATTTACATAGTGTTTACTTTTTTTTAGTCATTCCAAGTAATCCTAGAGATGATATAAAGTATATAGAAAGATGTATAGGATATCTGCAAATACTAGGCCATTTTACATCAGGGACCTGAGCATCCTTGGGTTTAGGGATCCTGGGGGGGTCCTGGAACCGATGAGCCAAAGATGCCAAGGGATAGCTGCACTTAATGGGAACACACTCTACCCACTCGTCCGCCCTGTGTTTTTTTGCACTTAACAACATTTTGGGGATCATTTAATGATGACATATAGAGCTGCCTCATTCTTTGAAATGTCTCTGTGGTCTTCCAAAATAGGAGACATTGATAATGTACTTAACTGGTACCGTAGCTGTGCACACGTTGGTTATCTCCAAACTTGTGCTCCAACAGTTGCTTTAATGACCATAGTGGACACATTTATCTTTGCGTCTGTGTGCTGTATTAGCTGAGAGTAAGTTCCTAAAAGAGAAATTTCTGAGTCAAAAGTATGTGCCAATTAAATTCTTTAATACATTTTCCCATATTGCCCTCTAAGCACATTGATACCCATTTAGAATCTTCATAGTAATTTTTTTATTATTAATTGTAGGCACAATGTTGTATAAGCATATCTCTAGAACTTTTTAATCTTGCATAATTGAAGCTTTAAACACATTGAATGGCAGCTCCCACTTGTCCTACCCCTTAAAATCATCATTCTACTTTCTGTTTTTGAATTTGACTAGTTCAGATACCTATATAAGTGGAATCGTGTAGTATTCCTTCTGTGATGCTTATTTCACTTAGCAGGATGTTCTTTGAGGTTCCTCCCAGTTGTTGCCTATGACAGGATCTCCTTCTTTTGTTAGACTGAATAATGTTCCTTTATATGTCTGTCCTACATCTTCTTTATCCAGTCGTTCACTGATGGATATTTAGATTGTTTCCTTATCTTGGCCATTTTTAATAATGCTACAGTGACCACAAATGTGCAGATGGCTCTTTGAGATTCTGATTTTAGTTCTCTTGCTAAACAACCAAAAGGAAATTGCTGGATTATATGTTAATTCGATTTAAATTAAATTTTTAGTTGTTGACATGCCATTATTTTATTTATTTATATGCAGTACTGAGAATTGAACCCAGGGCTTCAGATATGCTAGTCAAGCACTCTACTACTGAGCCATGACCCTAGTCCTGAATTTAAAAAATTTTTTGAGGAACCTCTATACTGTTTACCATAGTAACTACCTTTATATTTATATTTACATGTGTACATTCTATATTCCCACCAAGAAGGGTTCCAATTTCTCCACATCCTCTTGTTATTTTTTGTTGTCTTGTTTGTTTGATAATGGCCGTCCCAACAGATGTGAAATATTAGCTCCTTGTGGTTTTGATTCCCATTTCCCTAATGATTAATGATGTTAAACATCTTTTCACATACCTGTCAGCCATTTGTATGTCTTCTTTGGAGAAGTGTTTATTCTACTCCTTTGTGAAGGCAGGAATTTTTACCTATTTTGTCACTGTTGTAGTCTAAGCACCTGCTGCCTGAAAAATAGTAGGTGTCAAATAAATATTGACTGAGTGAGTGTATGCATGAATGAATGAGCAAGTGAATGAACTGCATTTAACATTTCCTTCACATTGCTGCCCTAAGATTCTTTTTTTTTTTTTTTTTTTTTTTTAGTATGGGAGTATTCCCAGCTGAGTTTGGGGGTCAACTCCTGCTTCTGAAGGTTCAGATTTTATTCTTCATGTTTACCTCCCCGCCACTCCACCAGCTCTTACAATGTTCTGCAACTTGAGCACATTTTATACACATACTCTCTCATTGCACCTTAATATATTTATTAGTCCATAGAAACACTTTCATTACTTTATTCCTCTATTAGCTCCATTACACATCTGATCTCATTTCCTTGGAAAACTTCCGTAACATCCTTCAAGAAAGCTTCCGGTCCTTCTTGATTGCTTAGCACAGTACTTCAGTCATGTAAACGTGCCTGTTGCATGGTTTGTAAAGTTAAGGTGATGGCAGTATCTTGAGATGAATGAGCTTCTTCCTTGGAGCAGTTTTAGATTCACAGCAAAACTGAGTGGAAGAGACAGTTCCCATATACTCCTTCCCATCCTGTAGGTTCCCCCACTGCAGCCTCCTGCCACCATGTGGTACATTTGTTACACTCCATGAACCAGCAGTGACAGCATAACTCACCCAAAGTCCGTAGTTCACATGGGGTTCACTCCTAGTGCTGCACATTTTCTGTGTGTCTTCTGTGTCCCACTTGTTAGTCTCTGCATCCTCTGTAACCTCTGGTAACCATTGATCTTTCAACTGTGCCCATAGTTTTGCCTTTTCTAGAATGTCATGAATAATACTTGAAATCATCTTCACAGCCTTTTCAGAGTGGCTTCTTTTACTTGGTAATAATAGGGTGCTGTTTTGAGTTTTCTTGGCTCTTTAAAGTTTGATAGTTTTGTCTTTCTTTGATGGAGGAGATTCACTAATGGAAGATGAATGGTGTCTTCTGAATTTCTGGGAGCAGAAACATGAACTGAATATGTAGCTACAGGGTGAAATAGTGACTTCACGCTTGGTGATATTCAAGGAACCGAATGACTGTGTTTCTTTCCTGCTGTTTTCACTGCCCTCTCTTTAAGCTTGCCACGAAGTGGATGATTCATCTGTTGTTGGATTAAAGTATTTGCTTCTTGGTGCCATTCACAAATGTCTAGGAAACTCAGAAGATGCCCTTCAGGTAAGCTGTTAACGTTGTCATGGCTACAGAAAATAAACCATGACCACTTACATCTATGTTTGTGAGAAAGATGAAAAAGTATTAAACAAAACCAAACCTCCCACTGCAATGTGAACTTTACCCACTTTATTTGATTAACGCCATCTTTTCAGATGGTAGAAGTTGACGGTGATGAGTGTAATATTTTTAATGAAACTGCAGATTCCCAGGACACTTCTTTATACATGGGCTTCTTTTCTGGCACTAGGTATTTATCAAAGATACAATTTCATGAATAGCCAGGAGGAGGCCTCACACATAGCCAGAAACCAAAATGATCATTTCCTTCTTTTATACCTGCAGATTTCTGATGTAGAATTGGAGGTGAAGTCCAGGAAGTTGCTAGCTTAGGATAGTTTAGGTACACATTAAATGAAAAATAATCACTAACAGGTTTCCAATGTTGTTGGAGGGACCTTTCTAACTAAGTTTCTTGTTTGGTTAGTTTTTGTTTTGTTTTCATTTTGGTGCTAGGGCTAGAACTGGGCCCAACCCCTGAGCTACATCCCCACCTCAGTTAATTTTTCTAAGTATATCCCAGAGTTACTTTGACTACTTTTTGAAAGAGTTCATATAAGTAATAGAGACTTGACTTTTAAATGCAAGAATATTAATATATTTGTACTGGAATTTTAAATCAATTTTCCAATGTGTGATTATGATCATTATTACATGACTCTAAACAGTTTATTTTAGATCACTCTGTTTAAGTATCAACAAGACACAATCAGGATACACATCAAGAGGTGGTTCTTGGCTTGTATGTTTTCTATTTTAAATATGAAAATGATACTTTTCCACCAAGATTAGGGAGGAGACATGGAAATATATTCTAGCTACTTTATTCACTATCTCTGATTTCATGTATCTGCTAGTTCCAAGTGAACAATCAGGTCTTGTATTCTTATGCTGTAACTCTTTTTGTGCATCTTGTCTTCCAAACTAATTCTGCATTATTTGAGAACCCACGTATTATACTTTTTTTCTAGTTCTTCTATGTAGTGCACATAGTGGGTGCTCAACAAATGTTTTTTCTTCATGGAATTTTTTTTCCTTACTTGTGAATTAAAAGTATGACACCCACCAAAAAAATGTGGATGTTTATACTTTGATATACAAATAAAAATATTTTTCAATAATAAGATCCATAGAAGTTGGTGAGTCATCTGGAAAAATAAGTAGCATAAGTTAGGTTGAGTGGTGGAAGACATATTCTGGAGGAAGCCCACCGTCAGGCATGTGAAGGATTTCTAAGATGTGAATGGGATGGATAGGAAGGAATGAAAATGAGAAGAGAAAATCTGATCTGGAAAACAAAAAGAAAATCTCTCTCCCTTCCTGTCTCCAGAAGATTGTGATAAGCCTTATGCTAGTAGGGAAATAAATTTATTCCGGTAACATTTTTTTATTATTTTCAGTTCTTTCAGCGAGCTGCTAAAGATGAGGTGTGTCGTCAGAACAATTTGTATATTCAGCCATATGCTTGCTATGAACTTGGCTGTCTTCTATTAGACAAACCAGAGGTAAGATCACTTCCATATATGTACATATATTTTAAAATAATATTCATCAGCAAAAATGTGCTCACAAACAGGCACAAAACATCCCTCACTTAAAATAAATGGATTGAACCATAGGTTCTTTGTTTTGTTTTCCTTGGTTTCATGTTGGATGAGTCCAAAAAGCCAATAATCCCATTTTCCTATCTTTAAGGAAGTAATGTCTTTTCTGGAATTTGAATTACAGATGTAACTTTTGAGACAAAGATTCATTTGAGGAAAATCGAATGTTTTTTCTAGTACAGTACAATATGATGGAGGATGATGTACTGGGAACAGAACTGAGTCAGGATTCTAGTTCTGCCATTTACATTCATGCCACTGGTTAGGTTACTTAACCACATACCTTCTTCCTCGTGTATGAAACAGAAAAAAAAAATACTTGCCTTGCCAATTTAATAAAGATGGCAATGAGAATAAATAAAGATGATATCATGTATGGTTACTTTAAAAATTTTAGACTATCATACAAATAATATTGACAGTTATTATTAAGGTGTGCATTTAAGTTAGTACAATGGGTTAGTGGGGTTAACTTTATAAAATACCAAATTTTAGTAAGTTCATCTCAGCTTTCAAATGTATGGTCAATTGACAGAATTAAAACTCTAGCCTAATTCTTGAAAATGTAAAAGCCTATCTTTCCAAAGATGGATTTTTAATTGGAAAATCTTTTCATTTGGACACCTAATTTTACCAAAACAGAAAATGTCATTTTTTACAAATTTAGATAGAATCTTCTAACACCATGTTCTTTATTTTAATGAAAAATTTTTTTCTCTTCATGTACCCATAATGTATACAACAAGAATGGACTATCTATTTTGAGAAATTAAGTTGATATCCTCACTGAGCAATACTTTCAAAAGGATATATCTTAGTGTCTTCAGATAAAACCACTTTCTTAATTATCAATAATTTCAGGTTGTTTAGTAAGCTTTTAACCTATAGAACTATATCTCAGTTATTGCTCCTCACAGGATGTACAGTGAGGACTATGAAGCATTATTTATCAAGCAAAGCCTTGATGAGAATTAATAAGCATTGTTACATTAAGGAAACATGGAGTCTTTGACTTGACTGATCAGTTGACTCACCTCTACCTACTATGAATTATGTTCATTAACATGTCCTCCTATGATAATATTTTCTGCCTAAGTATACATAGATGTATGTTGAAATAACGTTTTTCTTGTATCTAGACTGTAGGAAGAGGACGAACTCTACTTCTTCAAGCAAAGGTAAACATCCTGAATCTTCCTCTTCCCCATGGCCCTTCTTTTCCTGTTCACTCTACACCTGAGTCTGAATTCAAGAAAGTTTGTGAGGCAATGTTCTGATCAATAATTCTGGAAAGGAGAAGTGATAACTAATTCAATCAGTGAGAACATGATTTCTTTTTTCTTTTCCTTTTTTCTTTTTTTTTTTTTTTTTGTAATGGGGATTGAATCCAAGAGCACTTCACCACTGAGCTATATCCCCATCTCTTTTTCAAATTTTGAGACAGGGTCTTGCTAAATAAATTGCTGAGACTGGCCTCTAACTTGAGATCCTCCTGCCCCCTCTCTAGTTGCTGGGATTATAGGCATGTGCCACCATGCCTGGCTGAGCCCTAGATTTTTAAGTGAAATTCCAAGATCCTGAGACATTATTCAGCCTGTTTTATAATTGCTACAGTCTTAGTGTTTGGGTGGAGAAACAAACTTTTTTTTTTTTCTTTCTCTGAGACAGGGTCTCACTATATTGCCCAGGCTGGTCTCCAGCTGCTGGGCTCAAACCATCCTCTTGCCTCAGCCTCCCGAATACATGCAGGCTGGGAATATGAGCAGGGAATACAAACTTTTGATTTTCATAACTATGTTCTTGAGTTAAGAATTTCTAGCAGTAACTTAGTTTGAGCACAACTTGAGGCTACTATTTTAAGAATAACATAAGGAGAATTCTCCAAAGAGAACATTACCGCATTCAGTTTACATTTGTAGAGTAAATACAAAGTCTGAAGTTTGGGGAATAAGAAAATCAAGTGGATGTGAAACCTTTACTAGGCTGCAGGGAGCTTTGCCTGGAGTGTGAAATGTCCTGTGCCCTGTGCAGGTGGAGCTAACGGTCCACTTTAAACAGTCTTTCTCTGCTCTTACAGGAGGATTTCTCTGGCTACGACTTTGAAAACAGATTGCACGTCCGCATCCATGCTGCTCTGGCCTCTCTGAGGGAATTGGTTCCTCAGTGACAGACCCGGAGTGACCCCTCTGTCCCTCCCCACCCAGGGTCTGCACTTTAAAATAAAAGCAGAGGACAAAGCACTTGTGAAGATCGACTTTTCTTCTGCAAACCACCTGTGCCAGGGACACATTTTCTCAATGAGGCTGACATATTAAAGATCTCCTCTTTTAAACATGTAGCGAGATGTAACAATGATGATGACAATAACAATAACTAACCACCTGGGGAGAGGGTTAAGTGACCTTGTTCCAACATTTTAGTTTTGTGATTTATTATTTTTAAAATAAAATCAAACTCAATATTTGTCCTGTGATCTTGTAGGAACGCCTACCGTAAGCAGACATCAGAATGGGTGACGTGAAGCAGCACCTGTAAAATTATTAACAGTATCAAGACATAGCATTTATATTGTGTTTTGAAAAAATAAAAATGCTTTCTAGCATTTTATTTTAGCCTCAAAATATGCCTATAAATAATATAGCACAGATATTCTTATCTCCTTTCACACACATTGAAACTCAGGCACAAAACAGCTAATCCAATTAATTTATCACTTATAAATAATTTATTACTTATTCCAATTAATTATCCCTGTTATCAGTGGAGCAATGAATAGAAAACAGATTTCCTAGCCACCAATTAAATATTCTTCTACTATAAAATATATATATATATATACACATATAGATACATACATATATTAATAACGCAGTATTCCATGGTTTACTTATTTTAAAAAATGCTCTTTGGTTGAAGCTTTGTTATAAAAAATATTCACCTCCAGATTGTCTACAAAATGTTTCAAAGTAGACCTTTTCTTTCCTTCTCTATGGGTTAGATAAATAACACCTATATTTTAGGAGTTTTCCCCTTTCTTTGTAAAAATTGCCTAATGATCAACTTTTAGAAATCTTTTTAAAATTACTTGAAAAGTTATTCTTGAATAAATATGGGGGTTTTATTTTTCTTTTTGCCTCAAAATAGTTGATGGTGAAGTATTTGCTGGACTGTATATTGCCAGTATTTAATCATTTTCCCCTTCGCTCAGGTTATTAGATGTTATAAAAGGAATTCAAATTATTTTTTTATTCTTCATTGCTTATTTTTATTGATTTTAATTTGCCTCCATGCACAATATTGAACTCCTGGGGTTTTGAAGAATCTAAATACCTCAGTCACTTTCAAGAATTTTTGCCATAATTAGGTTCAATCTTTAGGTTCAATTTTCAAAAAATTTATATCCAGTATCATTCATTTACATATCCTGTTGACTGAAGCACCATCTCACATGATGTTAATACATTGATATTTATAAAATAAAAAGGAGAACAGCTAGAATATTGACAAATTTAATCTAATTTAATCTTATGTTGAAGAAATGATTTCTTTGAAAGAAGTTTCTCTTTACTGACTTGGGCTAACCTATGTTTCCTCATTCTGTTATGAATTACTTTTTTTTAAATTTTGTGATCTATTATTTTTAAATAATAAATCAGTGTGCTGTTTCCAAAGTATTCATTCACATTAACTTCCTGATGTAAACCCTGTATGGATTTTTAATACCAGCAAGAGAGAAAAGATTGCTTTCCTACATTCAGGGAGTGAGTACATCCAGAAGACAAGAAAAGAAAACTTTTCTGAAGAGAAAAATTAGTGCCTAAAAACATTGGGAGTCTGATAACTGACAGGAAGAACATTGTGAATCTTTAAAGTATGACTGTTGCCATTTTTTTTCTCTTCTTAATCTATAGTATACACAGCAAACATTTATGTTTTGACTGTGGAGCCTTCTGAATCATGAACTTCTTGACTCGTTCATTCTTATTTGAATTTTCAGTTCCAATATTATTCAAGCTAGTCTTCCGAATTCAAAAATTACATAAAATCTTATGCTTTCAATTTTTAAAAAATAACTTATGTGTACACTTATGGCTTTAAAAGTTACTTTTATTTTCCCATAGAGATTCCAGGAATTCAAATAAATTTGTGTTCAGCTGACACTTAATAGATAACTGTGCAACACCATTTACGAGATTTTCTTTAGTAGTCAAAGCATAGGTCTGTTAAAAAATAGTCTCTCCCAGCCTCAGTTCAGAGAACCCCTGTGGCCCATTTGTATTAATGTGGTCCACAAACAGTGGGTAGATGAACATTCTAAGGACACCAAAATAATAAAAGCGCAGTGTGAGTCCACAGTACTATGAGGGTGGCTGGAATCTGAGTACACTTTGAATTGAGTGATTTGTTACAGTTATCTGGCCTACATGCTGTGCCCCATCCAACCTGTGAACTGACTGTGATCTGCCTGGTGACTTGATTCAGTATAAACTGCTCTTTTCCCCTTGCTGATGAAGAAAATAATCATATAAGTAGAGCTATTTTCATCTATGTGTGCTTCTCTTTTATGTTACCACTCCTTCCCCTTTCCTAATTTGGAGGCTTTCAAATGGATCTTCTACTTTATAAATGTCAAATATATTTTTGTATTAGATTGTGCCTATGATAAGAGAAATCCCTAATGTATATTTTATGTATGCTGAACACATTTTTATAATTTGATGGACTTGGAGGCATGGTCTAGTAATAATGATGTAACATGTATCTTGCTGGTTAATATATTTAAGATTTTACCTTTATTGAGTTAGGTATCTTTTTTTTTTTTAATTTTAGTGCACGATAACTAAGTCTTCTACTGAGTTAAGAATTTTAACTTTCAGGTGTTACAGAAAAATAGACTATTGTTATGTAGTCTTTAAATCAGTTTACTGAATTTGTACTTTTATATTTCTGCCAACTGAAAGGACAGTGCACATCCAATTTTAAACACACTTGCACACACACACACACACACACACACACACACTCACTTACTATACACATACACACATTTTCTTTTCTGTGTAAACTTCTTCAATGGATTTCTTCCTTAAACAAATCAAGTATTCAAATGTGACAAGCATTCAAACATGGCTTTATACATATGAAGATAAAACTTATTGCCATCGTGGTAAACTGTTTTAGTTTCTGTGAGTGGTATGTTTTGTAGGGGAAAAAAAAGTGTTAACACCCAGTTGATCATAAGAAAACATATAATAGAGGTTGATGACTTAGAATCTAGGAAGAGGAAGAGAAAAGGAAAACAGGAACAAGACAATGTAAAGTTGGGACATAGTAGTTGTGGCCCCTCATTAGTGTGCACAGTTGTCAAGAACACAGAGTAGACCTGCCTTTCTATGAACACTAGCAGGGGGTTGAGAGCTCTCCTTGTTGACTTGATTATAATACTTGTAACCCAGGTAGCCTCTGGATAACAATTGCTTCTCCCACAGGCCAGAGGTTCCCATTTTTTTTTATTGGTTGTTCACAACATTACAAAGCTCTTGACATATCATATTTCATACATTAGATTGTAGTGGGTTATGAACTCCCAATTTTACCCCAAATGCAGATTGCAGAATCACGTCGGTTACACATCCACATTTTTACATAATGCCCTATTAGTAATTGTTGTAGTGAAGCTAGCCAATCCCTAAAAAACAAATACCAAATGTCTTCTTTGATATAATGAGAACAACTATGAACAGAGCAGGGAGGAAGAGCAGGAAGAAAAGATTAACATTAAACAGAGACATGAGATGGGAGGGAAAGGGAGAGAAAAGGGAAATTGCATGGAAATGAAGGGAGACCCTCATTGCTATACAAAATTACATATAAGAGGTTATGAGGGGAATGGGAAAATAAACAAGGAGAGAAATGAATTACAGTAGATGGGGTAGAGAGAGAAGATGTGAGGGAAGGGGAGGGGGGATAGTAGGGGATAGGAAAGGTAGCAGAGGTTCCCATTTTTATGTTTTAATGATTAGCCCTTTTCACCAAAGTTCTGGCTCAGTAGATTCTAGGTAGGTTTGGAAAGGTGTTTTTTATTTAATAAAGTCCCAAGATGATTCCATTGTAGGTGGTCTGAATTAGAGAAATAATGCCCTAGGCCATCATCTTTTATTATGTATTTAGTTTACCTGATAGAAAAGTGTAAAATGAACAGAATTATATAGCAAGGTTGAGCTCAGTCACAATATATTATTATGGGGTCACTAAGGAAATGCTTCTAATCCACTGGTTTTCTAAAGTAGATTTCTGAACTTAGTTTTAAAGATAAAAATGATGCCTGGAGGGGCCAACTAGGTCTTGGACCTGATAAGCTAAAAACTCAGAAGTGACAATAGCATGTGTGTTCAAGAATCTGGGGTCTCAAGTGGGAACAGGATGGTTAAGAGGAAGACGGAAGAAGTAAACAGACTATATCAAGAACTTTGAACTTCTGTAAGGTAAGGATTTGGGATGTGAAGAGGAGAACAGGAAAACAAGGTGGATTGTCTAATGACCAATGCAAGTAGACAAATGCAAGGACTAAAGATTGTAAAACCACATTATACTCCTTAGGAGTTCAAGAAATCAAAGTGGCAAATGGGCAATGGTTTAAAAACCCTTGTTTAAATGTTTCATTGTAACAATTTGCATTTCAGAGTGACCCAAAATAGTCCTTGGAGAAATTAAAGAGCAAAGGTCTCCCTTCTGAGTGGCAGGTATTTCTGCATAGTACCTGATACTTAATATGTGTACAAGATGACCAACCAAGGTTAGGCTACACAACCATTAACATTCCTAATTCAAAATGCCACAAATAGGGTCTCCAATGTCTGTACTTAGGGTTTTCAGTAGCACAGTTCATAGACATTTGACAGTTACAGTATTATAAGTAAAAACTTCAAAAATCATGACAGCTCATCTTTTATTTACACTTCTACAGTGGGGCTGGAAGCAAATGATGAAGTATGGGAAATGTAACGCCTGAAAACCTACCCCAAAGAACTTTTCTCCCCTTTAAATAGTAATCTTCACAGTAAGAGAAAACTTATCTAGCAACTAATGGATACTTAATAATAATCATTGAGTGAATGAATTGCCCCAGAAAATGCTGTTTGTAGCTTGGATGTAATGGAGGCCTGATATTGACTTTGATTGCAAAGCTCTCTAGAAGCATTTTTTTCCTGAATTAAAAAAAAAAAAATCTGATCAGATCTATGTACCCAATGATGCTATTTAATAGCTGGTTTACAGTGGTTCCTGTTGCTTTTTGCACATTTGAAGATGGATTACACTGAAAGCTGTTTGGATTCAAAATCATTGTATAGTTATTTAACGCCCAGTACGAATCTGTGAGCCCTTGAAAAGAGCGGGCCTTTTAAAATGAGGCAACATTTCTCTAACTTGGTAAAACTGAGCCTCAGTTTGTCTTAACTCGCATCCTGTTGATCACAGTGATTTTGAGGGAACAGATTTGCGTAATCCTAATAATGGAGAAACAAGAAGTTTCAGAATTAATGGGATTTTGTCAAGCGAAGAAGTGCTGTTGGATATAATTATTCACTTACAGTGTTTGTTGTGTACACCGTAGCAGAAATTTTATTAAAGGTGACCCAAGAGAGTAATAAAGGGGCATGGAGTCGTGCTGGGAAAGAAGAGTCAGTGATGACAAGATAGAACTGCCTTCCAAAGCAGCTCTCATCTCGGATCAACTGAAATAGACCGGTCGCATCGACCTCCTATAGGCCGTTTGGAACCGCCAGTTTCATGGCGCCTCGGTGTCCTGGCAGGAAAGGAGAAGCACGCCCCTCTCGCCCTCCGAGTTCCGGCCTTTGTCCCTTTCGGCTCCCCATTGGTTGAGGACGCCGCGATCCCGCCTCCTTCGTGGCGCTCGAGCTTCCCGCGAGGGGGTGGGGCTTTGTGACGCACGCATTGACGTCTCCAGGGTTATAAAAGCCCCGCCCAGGTCGGTTTTTCACAGGAGCCGCCGGCGAGGGGGCAACGAGGAAGCTCGCCCGAGCTTAGCCGGAAAGAGGAAGGTGGGGCGAGTTTGTGCCCCGGAGGCAGTTAGGCGTTCTGGGAATCTCGTGTGATGGCGGAGTTGGACCTGCCCTGTAGTGTCTGGGAAGGCCGAGGGTTCCCAGAGTGGGAGGTCCTCGCCCACACCTGCGTGGGCGGCGGCGGAACGGCTACCCGTGTGTGGCCGAGCTGCGGGTGTCGGCTGGGCGGCCGCCTACCTTAACAAGTCGCCGGCTGAGAAGTCGGCACGCCGCGTCTCGCACGATTCACTGCCGACTCCCCTCCCCCACCCCCCTCGAACACCACCCCAACTGCAAAACAAGCTGCTCCCAGCTGAGGTCTTAGAGGGAGTGTGTGTGTGCCTTTTACGTTTTCTGTACTTCTGAGGTCCCCACACCCCAGCTAGAGTGCCTTCGTTTTCTTGACAATTATTTTTGAAAGACATTTGAGTAGAAATATAAACAGTCCTCTGTATCTATTTTACCCGTTGGTGTGGCCATGCTGGTGCCACCGTTATTTCTCAACTTCCTCAGGACAGTTTGTACAGGACTGCCTTGTAGGACGTTCCCAAACGTGGCAGTTTTTTCAAAGATGGTTTAATTTAGTAAAGCTCCCAATGAATGATATTCTGATAGTATATTTTCTTTAAGTATATATATATATATATTTCCTCAAAGAGTTTGCTTAGGCAGATAGAATGGTTTTGTCCTGACTTTTGGGGAGATGAAATGTTGCTTTTAAATATTCAGCGTTTTGCTATGACACATTAGTTGCTTTTTATTAAAAGTTATCCCCTTGTATAATTGCCATAACTAAACTGTGCCACTTAACCCCATGAAACTTATTACTCTGTACTGTGCAGTTAAGGACATTATAGTCATACTATTCTGCTTTTTATAAGGACCCAGGGGAGAAATTTTTCATAGGTTTCTGTCCAGAACAGCTGTGATTCTTCCAAGCAGCAGATTTGTTTTTTGACTTCAGGACAGTGGAATCATTTAACCACTTGTTTTCTATTTGGTGATGGCTGTTTGGTAGCCCAAGAACCGATTTTATATATTTCTGTCAAAAAATGAAGGACCAATGGCTTGCATTGGAATGCTAACCTTGTGCAGTATTTTCACTTTGTTTTTCCTACCACGGTTTTCCCCTTACCACTGAATGAATTTAATTTTCTTATGTATTTGTTAGCCTTCATGAACAGTATTTTAGAATGAGACAGAACCTACACACTGACAATCTCTGCGCTTCTGAGAATTACAGGTTAGACTATGCAATACCCTCAGAAAATCAGGAGATTGACAATCTCTGCGCTTCTGAGAATTACAGGCTAGACTATGCAATACCCTCAGAAAATCAGGAGAAGGGGGAAGATAGGAAGAAATTAGGAGAATAAAAGGAGCATATGGAGGGGGAGGTGCATATAATAGTGGATGGCCCAGCACCTCAGAACATTTTTACCTACTCTGATTAATAGTAAAAAAATTAAAGGAAAAATGTGAGCAATTTGATGATATATTTACATAAGTGAGCAAGTCATTTTCTTGTAGAAACAGTTTTGTCCAACAAAGTCAGTGTTTTTGTGCATGTTTGGAATAGACACAGATGTTTAATTTATCTTTCTTGAAATTTAACTTTATAAATTTAAATGTTAATTCCCAAAATATTTGCTGGGTTTCACAGAAGCAGGTTTTGTTTTCTTGGTTTGTTTTTTTGTTGTTGTTTTTAATATCATCCTGTGAGTACTGGATTTAATAGTACTGGGTTGCTCACCTTATATAGTAAGCTATTAGTAGTTATTAGTAGGGTTTTAGGTATTTTTTTTTTCTATCAAGAATTAGCCCATTTTACTAGAATAAATACCTGGAGATAGAACTAAATTTTAATTTCAATAGAAGATTTGTTCTCAGAAACTATGGTTAACTCATAAGAAATATTTTAATAAACTGTGTTTAAGACTTTGTTTTTCTACATTATAGTTGAGATTAGTAAAAATTCCTGTGTTATAAGACTATTTGTTTCTCTTTATTATAGTTGAGATTACAGACATCCTGCCAGAATGCTTTCTTCAAAGCCCAGACTTGTCGTACCCTATGGCCTCAAGACTCTACTCGAGGGAGTTAGCAGAGCTGTTCTCAAAACCAAACCATCAAACATCACCCAGTTTGCAGCGATTTATTTTAAAGAACTTATTGTATTTAGAGAAGGTTTGTTATTGCTTTAGATCATATATTTGTTGCTTTTAAGAAGCATTTTAAATTGGGAAGTTTATGTACCTGTATTTGATTTCCTGTATTTATTCCTTCAGGGAATAATTCTCTGGATATAAAAGATCTGGTTAAACAATTTCATCAGCTTAAAGGTAAGTGCCATAAGTGATAGTTTTAATAATGTTTATTATAAGTTACTCTATAATTGCTAAATACATTCATATTTAAGATTGATGCCATCAGATGGTTTCCTTCTAAATCATATTAATGTTTTATTTGTAAATAATAACACTGAAGCTTTGTTTTTATTAACTCAGTGTTTTTATTTTTTAAAAAAATAAAACTCGGGGAATGGCATTTTAGATAATTCTAAATATTGTTGGGGAAAAAAGGAAAAACATCTTGGCAAATCGTTTGGCAAGACGATGTACATGAATGCCTAGGACAGTATGTACAAACTATGACTCAGACCCATCTTTAGGGGGAATATAATGGAGATGAAGAAAATTGCATCTGAGAGCAGTGAAGGCTTAATTTTAGTGAGACATTTTTCTTCGTAGTTATATAGGTTGAGCATCCCTAATTCAAAAATCCCAAACCCCCCAAAAACTCCAAAATCCACTGGAGCACTGATACAACACAATACTCAAGGATTTTCAGATTTGAGGGAATTTTGAGTTTAACATTTTTGGAGTAGGTATGCTCAACTAAAAAAGTCTATGTAAATATCCCCCAAATCCAAAATACTCTGAAATCTGAAACACATTGGGTTCCAGGCATTTCAGATAAAGTATACTCGTAAAACTGGAAAATCTTTGTTAAAAAGTTAATCTACCATTAAAAAACAAACAAACAAAAAACCCCTTATGGTTACTTATAGTCCAGTCTGGAAGACAGGAATCAATTAGATATCTCTGACCATATTTTCTGTTCCAAGAGTCTCTAGGTATGGATAGATGAATTTTCAACAATAGTGGTCTTCTCCATATCTCAGACACTGACATGGTGGCGTATAACTGCTTAGAAGAAAGTTGTGCTTTATGTTTTTATTTTTAAATGTCTATCTCATATGAACATGACAGCATGAGATTGAGTTGACAGAGGAGCAATGAAAAGGCATTTTTTAGAATGAAAATTTGAGAAGATAATTATAAGCAAAAGGAGATTTAATGATCAAATTCCAAGGACAAAGGGTACATATCTAAAAGAATGGTGAGGCAAAGCCAGTATGGGAAATAAATAATTCTTACTATATTCAAGAATGGCAAGGCAAAGCCAGTGTGGAAAATAAATAATTCTTACTATCTTACCTTTTCTCTATGATCATTCAAAACATTTTTGAATGATCATAGAGAAAAGGTAAGATTCTGTGAGTTATCAACCACTTTTATACTGTCACATTTGTGAGGTTAATAGATAACATGATATTAGGGAGAAATTAGGAGTAAGACATAGGAATTGTAAAAATCATTGGATCTTCTATGAAAGAGATATCCAAAACAGAAAGCAAAATTTAAGAATAGCAACAGCATTTGTAGAGGCAGAGAATGAAGTGCCTTTGTTCAGGAATATTTTATTGTCTAGTCTGGCTGCTTCCCTGATGGCACTCTCAGCTCACCATGTTAAACAGGTTGGAGACTTGCTTACCATCAGCAGCATATATAGACAAGTGTAAGAACATTAACTACCTTTCCCTTCCCCATGAGCTTGGTTTCCTGGGTAATTAGGTTATTATTGTCTTTGTATTTGTGTTTTCTATACAAGGAACTGAATTTCAGAGTATTGGGAGTGTGCAGGCTTTCTATGTTTAAGAATGGTGATTAAAGTCAGTGAATTTTTAAGGTGGAAGGTACCTGGTAGCTTTTGAGTTGAATTTGTTAACTGAGGATTTATTCACCAATTCAGTTTAGCAGATAGACTAAACAAATGTGGACTCTGGTTTAGGTAGGTTAATCTGTGAATCTCAGAATTAAAAATTAACAGACTAACAAAATTAATAGAACAGCTATACTTTTGATGTAAGTATGGGGTAAGAAATACTACTGCTTTTCTCTTCAGCTAACTAAAGATATCAAGAAGGTAAACATAGCATACAGAAATTCTAAAAGCTATCTCACAGTAGGATTATAGAGACATTGCTCTTTAGGCAGTAGAATAGGGATGGGAGGGTAACATGAAGGGATGATCAAGAAATAGTTCCATGTTTCTGGTTAATTAGTTTGGTTCACTTGTCTTCTATTGTCATCTCAAATGGTTTCTTAGTGGACAAACAGTACACAGTAACAAAGGTAATATCATAGAGACTGCATGGGTCCACCTTCATCCAGAAAAGTATTACTCTTGGCTGAAGAGAGACTATAAGGAGATATATACAGGCACCTTAAGTTTCCCACATAGTAGCACATTTTCTCTCTTGAGTGACAAGCTCCTATTTTCTGGCTGCTTTCATTCCCCAACTGCTGTTCCTGTGGAAACGCTGAGAAAATTTGGCTTCATGGTTGTTCAGTTCTTTACAATAAAAATGCAGGTGTAACAGATGGCACCTTCTCTTTCATTCAAGTAGAACTTTCCTTGTGGATCCTAGTTTTAAATGTGGAGGCAGTACCTGTAATACCCTATATGCTCTAATGGTCCCAAGGATGGAGGCTCTCCTAGACTTTCAGTGACTTGTTAAGATATGGAATGAACCATTCTTTGTTAGAACTTAGTGATGTAGGTAAGAACTAACTGCTGTCCCTAGTGCATTGGTGTCCTCTCTCAGCTTTAAGATATTAGAAGCATGTGTTTCATAAGAGTGCTCAGTGAGGATGTCATGTTCTCCAAAGTTATTCCCAAACTGGTGAGTTTGCTGCCCAGCAGCTTTACTATGTGCTGCCCATGCATAGAAACCATGAAGATAAGAATATCCTGTACATATCTTTTGTTTTAGTGGACCTTTCATTCTGAAATATTTCCTAGAAAAACCACCATTTGTGGTAGACCTCATCATAGAACCAGAAATGTTTACTTATCTCCCCAATGGCTTCAAAATTTCACATTCAGGTGATAGAGGAAGGGAGGAGAGAGAGAAAAAAAAAAAACAGACCTGGAGAAAACTGCTTTCACTTTTTCGTTGCTCATTTTACCCCCCAGAGCTTAGTGTCTTTTGGATGGTCCCTAACTCTGTCAACCATCATTGTGGCATTTCACCCACATATCCATCCCATTGCCAAAGTAGTTCATGCTGTGAAATTCTTTTTTGGATCCTCCCTTTGTTTTGACTGAAGTTTGATTAAATAGATCTCACTAAATCAGTGTCAGTGAAAGACCCCCCCCCCAATTTCTCAATCTTCTAATCCAAATCATCAATTGATGATATTTAAAACTTAGGTAAATTTTTTAAAACAAGAGTCATCCCTTAAATTCCACTACTTAGTATTTGCTAGGAAAAGAAAAAATAAAGGGGCAGGAGCTCAGGCCCCGCCCAGATCCACCCACACTGACATAGTGGGATTCAGGACCAGGGTAGGTCTGAGTTCACTACTCACCCCACCTGGGAGCCTCATCTTAACTGACTTCCATCTTGGGACACTGCAGACATCGCCATAGCCTTCCCCACACAGTAGCTCCTACCTTTCGACAACAGGGTCAAGAAGCAGCTGCATCTCAGAGCAGACATCCCAAAGACCATGTAAGGCCCATCCTTTTAGCTCTACTTCTGTAAGACATTGTATCCATCTTGGGTCACCTCCACTATTACCTCAAGTTCCCTTGGCTATTGCTGCCACCACCTTTAGTTGCAGTAGCATACATTGAGGGACACCAATAGAGTCTGGAAGTCCACCATCAAGGTGAGGTACAGACAATCTGCACAGGTACTACAAGAACATAGCGTAAAAACTGTAATATCTCAGATCCACACTGAAAGAAAGGAAGACACATAGACAACATTAAAAAACAAGGAAGGAAAGTGCCCCAAACAAACCAAGATACTACAATAACAGAACCCATGAACAGAGAAGTTGATGAAATGTCAGAGAAGGAGTTCAGAAAGCTCATAATTAAAATGATCTATGAATTAAAGAATGACCTAAATGAGCAAATACAAGCAAAATTGATCACTCCAATGATAAGAGAAGCAAATACAGGTAGTTAAAGATTACTTCAAGAAAGAGAAAGAGACTCTGGAAAAAAAAAGTCAGAAGTCCTTGAAATGAAGGAAATAATAAACCAAATAAAAAAACTCAATAGAAAGCATAACCAAAAGACTAGATCACTTTGAAGAAAGAATGTCACATAATGAAGAACAATGTATACAATCTGGAAAATAAAGTTGACCACATAGTGAAGATAGTAAGAAACCATGAACAGAAGATCTAAGAATTATGGGACAGCATCAAAAGACCAAATTTAAGAGTTATTGGGAAAGAGGAAGGCACAGTTTCAAACCATAAGAATGCACAATCTCTTCAATGAGATAATATCAGAAAATTTCCCAAGCATGAAGAATGAATTGGAAAACCAAATACAAGAGGCTTACAGGACACCAAATATACAAAATTACAACAGATCTACACCAAAGCACATTATATTGAAAATGCCTAGCATACAGAATAAGGATAGAATCTTAAAAGCCACGAGAGAGAAGAATCAGATAACATATAGGGTGAGACCCTTTCATGTATCGGCAGATTTTTCAACCCAGACCCTCAAAGCCAGGAGATTATGGAACAACATATACGAAGCTCTGAAAGAGAATGGATGCCAACCAAGAATCTCATATCCAGAAAAATTCAATTTTAGATTTGATGATGAAATAAAAACCTTCCATGATAAACAAAAGTAAAATAATTTAAAACTAGAAAGCCTACATTATAGAATATCCTCAGCAAAATATTCCATGAAGAGGAAATGAAAAACAATGAGAAAATCAGCAGAGGGAAATATTATACTATAGGAAAAATAATAAGAGGAGAAACCAAGTCACATTAAATACCAAAAATAAACAAAAATGGCTGGGAATACAAATCATGTCTCAATAATAACCCTGAATGTTAATGGCTTAAACTCACCAATCAAAAGACATAGATTAGTAGATTGGATTAAATAAATAAAGACGCAACAATATGCTGCCTCCAAGAGACTCATTTCATAGGAAAAGACATCCATACGA